TCCCTGCAGTGTGCTTTCACCTCAGGGGACCCAGGGTACTGGTACTGCCATATTGCTCCTGTATCAAGTGATTCCCACGGGGGCAGGGCTAAGGCTCAGGGTGTCAGATCTTCACAGAGGCCTTTTCCGACTCACAGATGTGGAACGGTAGACAAATGTGTGCATTTAGTCTCGTCCTGTGAGGACATCAGCATTACTCATTCATGGAAAGGGGCAAATGGCGTATAAAGCTAGACCTTTTAGCCCAAGTTGGCACAGAAGTCATGATCTTCCTGCCTCGATCCCCCGAGCATCAGGGTTACAAATGTACAGGCCCATGCCAGGCACTTTGCATTTTTATTTTAAGATAGGGTTTCTTGTAACCAAGGCTAGTCTGAAACTCCCTCCACAGCCAGGGATGACCTTGATCTTCTGATTCGCCTTGCCTGTGTCTTCCAAGTGTTGGGGTTACAGGCGTGTACCACGCCCTCCCCACTCCCTGAGCTAATATTTCTTCCTTTTGAACGTGGATGTAGTGGTAGGTGAGTGTGAATAAAGGGAGGAGAAGGTAGTGTGCTGAGGAGAATTTGCTTGTGGTTGTGGGAGTAACATGACCTTGCTTTTGTGTTTTTGTTTTGTTTCTTAGGTACAAATAACTGGCCATCCCAGATCTTGGGAGGTACAGACAGGGAGGGTCAGAAGTTCAAGGTCAATCTTGCCTTCAGATAGGGAGTTTGAGCCCAACCTGAACTACTTGAAACTCTGCCTCAACCAACCAAATACCAAACTAACCAAGCAAAAAAAGCAAACACCTCTCCCTCCCAAATCAGACCAGCAGTAAACTATCTCACACCATTTCATTTTGTATGTGGAGGTAGACTTTTAATTATTAGTGTGTACAAATGACATAGGAAGATTTCCACTTAACTCTGCCCTTCAATTATTCATGAGCAGTGACAGTTGGGACTGTACCCTGTCCCAGAAGTAAAAGGTCCCTGAGGGTTGTCTGGGAGATTTGGGTGGTAATGTGATAAGGGCCACATTGCACTGCTCTCCCCCTCCCCCCAGTTCAAGCTGTCAGTCACTGTGTGTGCCTCCTGCCACCACTTTGTGTTCAGAAGCCTTCAGTTTGGCTACCCATTACCCCCCAGGGTGACCTGGCCCACCCACTCAACAACCGGCCTCTCCCCCATCCCCTTCTCTTCTTGCTTCAACAGAGCAGCTGAGGTAGACATGGAAATTAGAAGTCACAGTGCCCATTTGAGGGTGTAGAGGCCAAAAGAACTCACGGCACTTGAAATGAATTCCTGCTCTTGGCTGGCATTTTCTACAGATGGCAAGTAGCGTGATTTCACGCCTGATTGGTGGAGGGAGGGGTTTGTTCCCTGGTCTGTTCTGTCGTGTTTAACAGTTTTTATTAGATGAAAAACTTTGACTTGACAGTTCTTGGGTTTTAAGGATGCTGGCACAGAGTGAAAGGCTTCTAAATGTATCCAATCTACCCCACTGACTTAGGTAGAAATAAATCTCTTCGAATTCATGGGCATTGACTCAGAAAGATGGTTCTAGAGCTTTCCCTAATGACATATTTCGGTGCCTCTCAGTTTTTATAGATAACTTTTATTTAGTTTATTATTTACATTAATTCTGGAATAATACATTTTCTTCTAATATTGTTAGTAGTGATTGGCAAGTGACCCACAAGGGCCAAAGCTTCCTATGAAAGAAGCAGTCAGCCATCAGCCTGATACAGATCCATCCTGGCATCCAGCCCTTCCGACCCTTGGGCTGCAGTCCCACACGTAAAGGGACCAGGGTGCTAGTGGGAGGCAGCTGTGACAAAGCCCTTGTGTTAAAGCGATACATTTCATTCTGCGAGGCCCTGCAGACTCCTGCTAAACATGTCACTTCAGCAGGCTCCCTTATCTGCTCTCCCAGGGCCTGAAGCAGAGCCACGCACGGCACAGTGGCAGGAGGGAGCGGTATTGGCACACCGGATGACAGCCGAAGTTGCAGGATGACAGCCTGATGGTGGGAGGGGACATGGGGAAGCCCGGCACAGCGAGGGGGAGCGGGATCAGATCTCTTCAGCGGGTCTATTGAAGAGGTCTGAGAAGGGTGTGTTCTCTTAGCTTTTCATGGGGGAAAAATGGTTAAATTTTTGTCATCTTTGAAGATTCGGATGGAAGTTATTTGAGAAGACCAATGATTTCCTAAAGCCCAGGCTGCCCCTCAAGACCAATATTATGAAGAACACAGTACTTCATGTGAGGTGTGAGGCACACAGGCTCCACAGCCCTGGCTGAGAGTCCATTGATTGAGGTGTGTGGTCTTTGTAGTTGCTCAGTGAATGTAGTTTGAATGGATGTAGTAGCTTCTGAGGCAGCCCACTTAGGCGCTTCTGGAACTCACATGGCGCATGAATAAAGCTAATGTGTCCTCCAGGGCTGACTAGAACTGTTGTATTTGCTGTTGGCCAATAGCGAGTTTGACCCGGTAGTAAAATTACTTAATGTATGTGACTTTCTTTGTATTAGCAAATATGCAATCATCAAGGCCAGTGGTTCTCAACTATTGCTGTGACCCTTTAATACAGCCCCTCACGTGTGGTAACCCTCCCCCCAACTATAAAATTATTTTGTGGGTACTTCATAACTGTAATTTTGCTGATGTTATGAACCGTAATGTATCTATCTGATATGCGACCCCAAGGGAGTCGCGACCCATGGGTTGAGAACTGCCGAGCTAGGCCATAGACTAGAGAGTACATGGAGGATTTGTTAATTCTGTTTTGAGGTTTGTAGGAACAATTTCTCTAAATCCAGTTTCTTAGTTTGCCTACATCTAGGGTAAAATAAATTTTTTCCAAATAGCTTCAGCTGTCTGTATAGCTATAAATGACTTTAGGGGAGGGTCTTGAGTCTTGGCTCTAAATAGGCCAATTATTATTCTTGGGGGCTTGGAGTGAGTTTTCTTCTTGCCTCTCTATTAGCTTCTTGCAAGGCTGGGGCTATGTGAGGCACACACACTGATTACTGGCTTGGGAGCACCGAGACTGTGTACATACTCCAAGAGGCCTGTGGAAGAGAATTCAGCTTCACCTCTGGTACAGGGAACAGCAAGGGGTTTATTATGAAGCTTAGCTGTCTTTAAGTTACAAATGCAGCTATAAGCCGGGCGGTGGTGGTGCATGCCTTTAATCCCAGCACTTGGGAGGCAGAGGCAGGCGGATCTCTGTGAGTTCGAGGCCAGCCTGGTGTACAGAGAGAGATCCAGGACAGGCACCAAAACTACACTGAGAAACCCTGTCTCGAAAATTCAAAACAACCAAACAAAAATACAAATGCAGCTATAAGATGTGGACAACATGTTAGAAAGAATTGTGCTCAATGTTTGGGGTCCACGGATTCTTAGAGGGCAGGAGTATGTATTGGGGATAGCACGGAGGACTTGCCCATTTTTCTCTGGTGCTTTTAAAAATTCCTTATTTTATATTTTTAATTCTTTTTGTTTTCTGGAGTCAGGATATCATGTAGCCAGGCTGGCTGCTATACATATAGTGGAGGATGACCGGGAGTACCTGGAGGTTGGGTGCCCACACCACTGTGCCTGATAGTAATATCATCATCTTTGCTCTGGTAATAATGGTCAGCATAGATCTATCATTGAAAATTAAGAGTTGAAGCAGACCCAGCACACCCAGGAGGGTGAACCTCTGACCCAGTGATGTCTCATATAACTTGCTCCCCATCCCTGACCATTGCTGTGGTATGACGTATGCTTGAGTCCTCTGTCTGTAACTTGAGGGATTTAAGCTACATGGCCTCTGGAGAATCCTATTCCTTTGAACTCCTCATCAGTGCTAACTGGACTGTTTTTTCACTTGGCTTTCCAGTCTCGGTGTCTTCCTCTGGTGTAGCATGAGAATTGACTGTCCTAGGGACACTTTGCTCTGTAACTTCTTCAGTGAGCATCCCGGACCTGGTATGCTTAATTAATCTCCTTCATAGTCACCGCGAGTTGGAATAGACACGTGACACAAAGTTTGCTTTTAGAACTTTTTGTTTGTTTTTCCAGACAGAGTTTCCCTTTGTATCCCTGGCTGTCTTGGAACTTACTCAGTAGACCAGGCTGGCCTCGAACTCAAGAGATCCTTCTGCTTCTGCCTGGGTGCTGGGATCAAAGGTGTGCGTCGCTGCCATGGCCACCACCACCACCACCACCCAGCTGCTTTTAGAACTTTTAGTCGGTTTATTTTCCAGCAAACTTGTTAGTGTTGATAATGACTAATTCTCCGTTGCTGTCTGCCTCACTCGGTCGCCCAGGGGGCGGGGGATGCTGACGTTTAGGACCAAGCCATCAATCACATTGACCTAAGGGAGGTGCTACACACAGGCCAATGCATTGCAAGGTAGAGGAGTCCAGGTGCTTTGCTTTATAGCTCGCAGTTGATTGCCTTAGCATTGTTTTCTAATAGGATTTTCTCTGATAGAGTGGCCATTGGAAGGCAGAGAAGGATTACCTGGGGTCAGGCTGAATGGGGTGTGCTGGGCCCCACATTCTGCCTACCGGTGGCCGGAGGGGAGGCAGGAACAGGTGCGCAAGCGTGGCCGCATCTCACCTTTGCTGAAAGCAGGAAGTGAAGTGATACTGCTTACCTTATCCCTGATAATGGCATTCCTTAACCCCTCTCTGGGAAGGCGGGGACTCGAAGAAGCCGCATTAAAAGCACGTCTGGTGATCACACTTTTTCCGACCAGTGGGTCCAGTCATTGGCCATCAGATTCTTTCTGCGATCCGCAGACGTCTAACACTCGACACAGGCTTGCATTCATTCCCATTGCTTTGCAGGAGTTCAGAAGTTTGAGCCACCACTGAAGTGTGGTCTGTGGAGGGGCGGGGCTCTCTGTCTCCAATGAGGTGCCTTCAGTGTCGGGCAAGCCTATCATCTTTCGCAGGAGTGCTTACTCTGTAATCCAAGCGATAGCCACGCAGCTTGTTTTATTGTTTGTGGAGTCCTGCGGCTAGGAGCGCTTCCCAGACGGGAGCGAGAGCAAGTGAGTGGGCGGTTTATGATTCTGCCCTGCGCCTCCGGGACGACAGAGCCGAACCCTTTGATTCCTCCCAAGTAACCTGTGCGGGTGAACTTTAAACTGGGGGCCTGCTTGACTCTGGATCTTTTTCTGCCGGGCTGGGGAGTTAGCTCCTCCACCAGAAGCTGGCTCTCTGCCTTCAGAAGGAAGGATGCCCTGGAGAGGCGTAGGATTACATTTAGGGATGCTAGCCATACAGCCAAGAGTCGGGGTACCGTGGCTCTTCTTTGCAAAGTCTTGGCAAGTGTGCCTGAAATGACCACGCCGTTTCTTCTTCTTCTTTTTTTAAAAAGCTTGTACTTCTATTTATTTTTATTTTTTTGCCTGTGGACCGCCCTCCAGGAATTGGTGCCTCAATGTGGCTAGAGTAAACCCTTTTTGAAAATATATCTCTAATCCTTCCTTTTCCTTTTAATCGGGCACACAGAAGCACAATGCCTGCCCGACTCCCAGCATCGTGTGGATAAGTGGAAAGGGGGCAGGCTCCTTTCAAGGACCCGGGCCAATAATTCTAAAAAGCCAGCTTTTTGTTTGTTGGGCTGCCTTTTGTCTCTAGAGGATTTTGATGTGAAAGAAGATGAAAAAGGAAGGCGCCTCAGGTTCCTTCAGACTCAAGGCAAACCCAGGCTCCCTCTCACGTGCCGTGAGTTGGATAAATTTCTCTTCCCTGTCCAGGCAGACAAAGAGGCTGTTTCGCAGTGATGGAGAGCTGTCGGTGTGTGGGCAGCAGGTGGAAACAGATGATGAGAACTGGATATACAGAAGCAGAAAAGGTGACTTGGTTTTTGTTGTTGTTGTTGTTTTTAATGGAAACATCTTATAAAAAATTTGTTCTATAGAATTCTTTGTTCCTATCAATGATTTCTTGTCATGCTCCCCCCGCCCCAGCACTCCTCCCGCCCCGGAGTTTTTTTTGTGTGTGTGTTGGAATTCAGCACTGTTCATTTGTTTACTTGTCCAAAATAAAAACTCCTCCAACAAGGTCCAGCTTGTGACTGTAGCCTTCTGAGAAGGTTAAATAACTGTTGTTGGTTGTGGGTGCTCTCTGCTCCTTCCCCGATCCATGCCGTCCTGTGACTCCGGTAAAGTCAACTGGGAAGGCATCACCACAGATGAGATCTTGGGGGTTTGTGGATGGTCTTTTTGCAGCTTTCTTCTGAGAAGATGAATGAAATCCGCGACTGTGAATGCTTGAATTAGACAGGTGCGGAGTGTGACCCGCAGGGAAATGGACGCACAAAGGGGTTGACCTTGGCCAAAAAAGAGTTTGGGATTTCTGTCAAGTTTCTTTTCAGACCAATGTTGGTGTCTGTTCTCAGGATTGGCATGTTAGACGCCCCCCCCAATCCCCCCTCCCCCAAGGTAAGGAAAACTCAGTCCTGCTGGAGGATGAGGGTGGGGGGGCATTCTGGTATTTCATAACCCTCCCTGTCTTCTGTATAGAATTTCTGACATCTGCCTATTAGGATGTGGGCAGTAGGGGCTGAATTGTTTATCTCTGTGATGGTCTCTACATTGGGTGTTGTCCAAAGTCCAGCAGGGAAGCACTCTGGTGTGTTACAAAGGAACCTAGTCCAGACATTGCTGGGACTGTGTGTGACTTGTTTACTGTGTTCTTTCTCTGCCAAGAGAAACCTTGCTAGAACCTCTCAGGGACCCATTCTTCCCCCTCTTCTGGGAATCCCAACTGCAGACATGTGAGTCAACTAACCTGTGTGCTTCTGGGTACATGATCGTTCTGTGCACTCTGAGAATTAGAGACAGTTCTTTTATAGGGACAGTGGGTGTTAACCTGCTTGTGCTTGTCTGTTGAACTATGGCAGAGGAAGGACTGGTTACTGTTCTTTGAAGATGTCAGTTGTCAAGGAGGTGGTCATCAGTGATTCACCCATGCCGAGCTTTAAAAAACCTGAGTTTTGAGTTACACTCTGTAATCGCCAGCGTCAGAATAGGCGTTTGCTTGCTGCCTGGAACTGTGTAGTTTAAGTCTGTGAACAACTTTTCTAAATCAGGAATAAGCTTTGGTTTTGGTAAGTGGCTGGTCCGCAATGTTTGAACCAAACGCGTTTGCAGGGTGGACACCACAGTGCAGTGGTTGCAAGGGAGGGCACTTTTGACTCCTTTGGCCGTTGCCGGAAGTTGCTTCTCAGGACTTATTTTGTGCCCAGCCAACCACTGTCAAGTTTCCGTTGAAGACTGTGTACGTGTGAGCATGTGGCTTTAGTACTTCCACTGTCGGTGGTTCATCTAAATGAACATTAAAGGGGGAGAGACCGAATTTGTATGCGTTAGGTTTATTTGGAAAGTGAAGCGAATACTGTGCACTTGACTTGTAGAGAATAAAGAAGTCATTGTGAAGAGTGAGGGGCGAGTTCTGAAGGAAGAGGGGACTTGTTTATTTCCAATATAAAACACCGTGCCTTTTATCCCTTCATGTAATAGAGGGCACTGTAGTCTCCTGTATATAAATGGGGAGGGGGGGCTACTACAGCATATACATTTATAGGTTCTTAGAAATAATTGGCTCAGGATAAATATTGTCATTTTAACATATGGAGTTCGGGGAAATCTGTAAAAAGTTGGCTGTGCATTACAAATCATAGAATTACATTCTGTTTCCATATTTAGCTTTCAAAAGAAAATTGGCTCTCTTCCTTGACATACTGTCTCAGGGGCATGTACTAACAGTTGGTCTTTATCCCTCATAACTCTTTCCTTTGGAGAAATGTAGAAGTGACATTTGTTTACATTAGTAGATCAAAAGAGGAACCATCTGTAAGGAAAACCATGCAAGGTTTTGAGTTTTGTTCTGATGAGCATCAAGGAAAGCTGAATCTGTAGCAGGGATTACCAGTCACCTCAGAGGATGCCCAGTGGCCATATTAAGATTGGGTTACAAATAAGAAAAAAAAAAGTACCTAAGACCTACTGGCATGATGGGAATATGGGGTGCCTTCTGTATCAGACTCCTAGAACATGAACAAGTCTTTTGATTCATATATGCTTTTGAAAAACGTCTGTCTTCGCCTCCCTGCTGCCTTCAGCCCTGACAGATATGGTGAGCAGTGGTAACCTGGAAAGTCAACCTTCCTTGCACCCAATGGGGTGTGGGGAGGCTGGTTCTGCAGCTGTCTCCGGCTGCTCCCAGCTGCTTCAAGGCCAGGCTGTTGTTCCTGCCCTCTGTCGCCAGGTAACGCCTTATAGCACAGCCAACCCACTGGATCCTTGATGAATAGTATTAACACATCCATTCATATTGCAAAGTAGAAGGCCTTTTTATGGCGAATCTTTAGGCTGAAGAGTAACAGTTACAATGCAAGTTTATACATGGTTACATTTTTGGGAGGAGTTTGTTTGTTTCTCTGTTTGTTTGTTTATTGGGACAGGGTCTCTCTACATAGCCTTGGCTATCCTGGAACTCATTATGTAGACCAGGGTGGCCTCAAACTCACAGAAATCTGCCTGCCTCTGCCTCCTGAGTGCTGGGATTAAAGATGTGGGCCACCATGCCTGGCTTTAACATTGTTACTTTTGAAGATGTCTATCAGTGCCTTAGCCTTTAACTTTGTTACTTATACCCCAGAAACTAAGGTAAAAGGATAGCTTAAGATTTCTGCGGATTCTTTTTGTAAATTAGAAGTGACCAACAGGCATCTTTCTACTACGTGACTTTCCCCCGTGTATTGAAAGTTGCCTGAAGCGAGGCTGGAGGAAGAGCTCAGAGGTTAAGAGTCCTACTGCTCTTGCAAAGGACCTGAATTCCATTCCCATGACCCAGGTCAGGTGGCTTACAGCTGCCTGTCACTACCGCTCTAGGGGATCTGACACTTAGAGGCCATCTGCGTTCCTGTGCACATCTCTTCTTCTCCTATATAAACGTAATTGAAAGAAAAAGAGAAGCTACCAGAAGCTTCATATAAACAGGTTCAAAGCCATCACCAGGAAGCACTCAGACTTATTTTGTCACAGTACACGATGAGTTTGAAAACTCTCTTGTACTGACATTTGTGCTCTGGGAGCTAAGAGTGAGTGCTCAACACGCTGATCAGTTCTTCTGTTCTCGCTGTGATGTGACCCACCTCAGCACACTACGCTTTGACTTCATCAACTGTAAAAGCCAGAATGTGAAAGTGTGAGCGTCATTGGGTCGGGATGTGCCGGAGGAAGCGGGGAGTGTGTTTGACAGGGGCTTCCGTGTAGCTTCCTTTGCGATGACGGGAAGGGAGGAACCTTGCTTACTGAGTTCTGGGCAGAGGCCGTGAAGATGCTCAGAGTCTGCAGTCTTGGAGTTTACACTTCTGTGGAAAAGCACAGGAAGTGTCTGAGAGGCAGTTAGCAAAACCAACTGTGGCAAAGTACAACGTGAAGGCTTAGGGAAGGCCCGGATCAGGGATTTTGTCCGAAACCTTTTCATGTTTTCTGACTGTTAGCATGGAATTAAGCAGTGTTTAATGGGTGATTCTTCACCAGTATCACGGAAGGTTCTCAAGGAAAACTAATGACCCATGCCTAGTCTGTGCTTCCCCTTTCCTGCTCGCTGAAATAAAATAAAAAGAGGTAGGGTAACAATGGGATTGTCTTCTCATGGCGCAGAGCACATTTTGTTTCTGGGTAGAGGCATGATTGATGATCCTGGAATTGACAGGTCTACCGACAGAGAGGGTAACCCTCATTTTAAATAACATTTTTGTTCTTTCCCTGTCGATTATTTTTTTTTATCATCATCTCAACTTAGTAACGTTACCAAATCTGACTTGTCTCTATTTCAGTGTAACTTCATGGGGCTAGAGATACAGCTCCTTGCAGACTACATCCCAGGAGTGAAGCCCTGGATTCAATCCTTGGCACCTCCCGCCCTATCCCCCCAAAACCAGAGGGCAGCCTTTGTAGGCGTCAGGGGTAATGAACAATTTGTACCCTAGATAAGCAGTTCTGGAGTGTAGGAGCTGTGTGTTATTTCATCCCAGTATCCCTCCTCAGAAGAGAGTTGCAGAGAACAGACGCACCGTCCACAGTGGATTAGTAACGACCAGATATTATAATGGAGAAAAATGCTTTGCCAAGACCCAATGCCGCAAGTTCAAGTTCCTATTTTCATAATGATAACTGGGTTCTATTTTTTTTTTTTTTTACTACCAAAACACCTTTAAAGTGATGAGACTCGAGGACAGCGCTGACATAAGGCAGCCGAAAAGGCACTGGCAAATATTGTTAAAGGAACATTGCAAATTCGTGCTTCAAACTAAACAAGCTTTATTTATTCTGAGGGTCACTCTGTTGATCAGGAGAGTGGTTAAATGGATTTTTATCTTAACAAAAACACCAAGACAAATGTTCTCAGTGTATGACGGCTTCTTTTCCTTCTTAAATTCCTACTGAAGTTGGCATTCTGTGAGAGAGACAGAAAGAGACACTATTTTCTCGGGCCCACCAAGACGGCCCTTTAGTGACCTTCGATTTTTTCTTTTTGCTCTGAGATTGGCACCTCTGTTGTCTCACTACTTGTTTTATAGGGAAAGAGAGAGAGAGAGGGAGAGAGAGAGAGAGAGAGAGAGAGAGAGAGAGAGAGAGAGAGACCTTTTTTTGGTAATTAAATTGTGGAGGTCTTATTGAAATGATGTTTGGTCTAATATCCTCCCTTTATTAACTTTAAAAAGTTTGTGGGCTTGTTTGAGAATTAGACACTTCCTCAGGTGACTAGAAGCGTGATAGTAAAAAGGGGGCTCTCCACCAGGGCTTCAGTTGGAAGTGAGTAATTTTTGCTTTTTTTCCG